TGCCTACTTGTTGGCATATGACTTGATCTAACCGAATCACTCTGTACCTTGGCAAAATGCATACATGTATGGAGAAGGCGGTCATCTTGTTGAGGCTTAAAGGAACGAGACCTTGTTCTGTTGATGTTCGTCGTATGATTGGAAGCAAAAAAGGTTGCTTGGGGGACAAAGTGGGCAAGAATGCTCCAACAACGTCGAGAGAAATCGACTGGCGGCCGTCTTGTGGTGAGATCAAGCTGCTTAGCTTGACCTGGAAACGAGCTCGTTGTTGGGGGTAGTTGTGGCAAGAGGGTTCTTGTCCTCAGTTCTCTGGTTGCAAAATCCCAGTCCGCTCAACGCGGGCCCAGTGCTATCTCGGACAGGTGAAGGCTGTCTCTCATTCCCAACCGAGAAATGTGGACAAGAAGCAGATGAGACTTTGCCCAATAGGGCACAGCGTGGCCAAACTGGTCTGGTCTCGTTAGAAGGTGAGATTTACATTTTTCACAGTTTCTGAGTTGAGGGGTTTTGGTGATAACACGCCAGATAACGAAAATAGACACTCTTTCAACAGCTGAGGCCAACAAGGAGACACGTACTGCTTTTGGTGGTTAGCGTTTTCAACATGCCAAAATTTACTCGAACGGGGTCAAACACTACTTTGGCTATTCTGTCAATCTCTGTTGGCAGATTAAAGTGACATTTGGCGCCAAATGCATTTTGTGCGAGTCAGAGGTCAGAAGGGAATGGAGCATTTTGCCTCGTATACAGTGTACAGATGAAAGATGTTCACTTCAGTATCAGCCTTTTAACTGCAACGAGGAAGAGACGAGTGGAAGGCAGAAGAGATAAAAGGCAACGTAATTTGGAAGGCTTCGTGCTTTTGCATTCTTTCCTACAGCCACATTCCAAATCGAATTTATGATATCTCCACCCTAACCCTAACCCTAACCCTAACCGTAAATCTAACAAAAGCCCTAATCCTAAACCTAACCCTAAACCTAACCCCCACCCTAACACTAACCCTAACCCTAACCCTAACCCTAACCCTAACCCTAACACTAACCCTAAACTAACCCTAACACTAACCCTAACCCTAACCCTATTCGTAACCCTAACCCTAAACCTAACAATAACCCTAACCATAAACCTAACCCTAACATTAACCCTAACCCTAACTCTAACCCTAACCATAATCATAACCCTAACCCTAACCCTTACCATAACGCTAAACCTTACCCTAACCCTAATCCTAACCCTAACCATAACACTAATCCTACCCCTAATCCTAACCCTAACACTAACCCTAACCCTAACCATAACCCTAAACCTAACACTAACCATAATCCTAACCCTAACCCTAACCTAACCCTAACCATAACCATAACCATAAACCTAACCCTAACACTAACCCTAACACTAAGACTAACCCTAACCCTAATCGTAACCCTAACCCTAAACCTAACCCTAACCCTAACCCTAACCATAAGACTAACCCTAACCCTAACCATAACACTGAACCTAACCCCAACCCTATTCGTAACCCTAACCATAAACCTAACCCTAACATTAACCCTAACCCTAACTCTAACCCTAACCATAATCATAAC